TACTCCATTTAACATCAACAAATCCAACAAACCTAAATAATAAATTAGAAATTCAGAAAATTAGAACAGTGTTGAAGTTATTATCTGTACTTTCATTATTATTAATATATATAGTTTTAACTAAAAGTGATGGAGAAGAGTGAAAATGTAATATTTGACAAAATTATTGAACAAAGAAGACAAATCCAATTTGATTGAATATACCAATAATATTTAAAAATTATGTATATGTTTGAGTTTTTTTTTGTAATGAGTTGAATTTAGTAAACACATTGAACACAACTCCAACAGTAGTTCATTAATATCTTCTGAAGTACTACTATCTTCATTTGAATCTTTTTTTGGAATATCATCAATTTCATAATCAAACTTCATATGGATTAGGTAAAATAAATATAATGTTATAATTAAAATCATTAGAAAGAAATAAGCCAGAAGTGTATTAGTTTAAATATTAGAAAATATATATTTCATGAGAAAGTACTCTAAACGATACTGGGACTATTGCACTTACTGATACACTTGTAAAGAATACACCAGTTAAATCAATCCTTTTTCTTATTATAATAGTAATAAAAGTAGAGTGTATATATTTCTGTGGCTAACAAAATAACTCTAATAATTATGTAGTGAAAAATAAATTAAATTGTTGGAGAAGTTATGTAAGTCAAATTATATGACATGATAAAGTAACATAAAATAAGAAAGGTATATCTTATATAGATATAATAATGTGAAAATTTTGATATAAACCAATATTTGCAGATAGTCAAGACAATTATTGACACAACGCAATAACTAATCAAGAAAGAGAGTGTAAATGTTGTATTTATATAATAATTGAAAATATCACATGACCCAATGACTATGTTATAAAAAGGAATAAAGCAATACATATAACAAAGGAATTCAATAACTTTTCAATAAGAATAAAGTTTTTTATTACATTCTTAATCACAACAGATTAATAAATCATTTTTCTTTTTTTCTCAAACAACATTAACTTTCCATTTAAGAATAATATCTATCTTAAGATTTTTTATTTGAACAAAAAAATCAAAGGACATGACAATTTCAATTAAAGAGATGGAAACATAGGATTGGTTCCATAACTATAAGGTTGTTGTTGAGGTTGGCTATTTCCTGTAATCGAACGTACCATAGAAAGTGCTTCTTGTTGTCGTTGATTTTGGAATTTAATACATTCGTTTTGAAAAGTATCTATTTTATTTTTAGCATCACGATGGAATTGAATACTTTGAGGTAATGTTTTTAAAATTTCATCAGCAGCATTAATTGCCACTCTAAGTCGTTGGACCATTCCAGTAATAGCAGCAGATCTATTTCCATTATTTATTTCTCTAAATAAGTTATTTTGTTTAAATAAACTTTGTTGAATAATGTTTTTAGTGTTATCAAATTCCTTCAATAAATTTATAACGCATTGGTTACTTCCATTTCCTCCTTTAATAACTCCAACTTTTTCTTTTTCATTTTTTTCATATATTTTAATCATATTTTCAAGAGCAGTTTGTCGTTCTTGAATGATTTCTTTCCACTTCATTTCAGTCTGTTCAATATTAATATTACTTGTTCCAAATAGTTGTTGAATATTTCCTTCACATAACAATTTAATATCATTCTCAAATTGTCTAAATTTATTTATCATATTATCATCAATACTTTTAGCTTGTTTTAATGATGCTCTATACTTTTCACTTTCTCGACGATAATTATATGCTGCCATTTCTGATGCTGTACGTTTCCATTGATATGGATATTGTCCTCTTAATCTTCTTTCTTCAGCTGCTTCAGAATCTAATGCAGTTATTCCCTTTTCAAATGAGGCAGTTGTTTCTGCCTCAATAGTAGTAATGAATTCCATTTGTTGACAAATAGAATTGTATGTATTTAATTGCTTTAGTCTGTTAGCATTAATAATAATGTCTTGTGGAATATCACATGAATTTTCTTTTAAACTATTTATAATTCTATTCCCTTCATTTGTTTTACTTTCACAAACTTTTTTTGAATCATTTAATATAACTTGAGCTTTAGAATTATATTCATTTAATGCCTTTGATAAATTAGCTGGAAGAATATTATCAAAAAGATTTTCTATTGTTTCCAATTCAATTGGTTTTGCAGCAAGTACTTCAGTTATTGGTGGAAGATCTCTTCTTCTTGGTAAATTATTCATATAAATGTTATTATTATTTTTTTCTGCTTGAGTATAAGCAGCTTTAGCTTCAGTATAAATCTTTTTTAATGCATCTTTATTAGCAGAACTATATGCTATATTACACGCTTGATACATAGCTTTCATTGCCCATTTTAATCGTTTCACTTGTTCTCCATATTCCATTTTTTCTTCTGCACCTTTAGCAGCCAATGTTTGTACACAATAAATAGCATAGTCTTTAATAATAATGAAATTGGAAAGGAAATTAAATCCAACTGTAATTTTATAAAATGTTTTAAATGCATCCACTGATGGAATTAACTGGTTTGCTGCAGCAGCAGCTAATTTAGTTTGAAGAGACTCAGACTTTCCTTGAGCAACAGCATTAATGTGCATAATTAAATGAGCACATCCTAACGCTAAGGTTGTTAATGTCTGTAATCTACGTGGATGAAGATCACCACTACCTGCTGCACATAGTTGGGCACAATCTGCTGCTTTTTGGAATGCACCAGCAGCTTGTTGAAATGATTGAACAGCTGACTTAAGAGAATTTGCATCAGTTGTTTTTGAAAAAGAAGAACCTAGAGCCATGCAACAACACCCCATATTATACATAACATTAGCCTTTTCAAAATCAAGTGTTGAGTAGATGAATTTCTTTGGTTTGCTATCTTCTTGTAAGTACGTATCATACCATGTAAATTGTAGATTAATAGTTACTCTTCCTGATAATTGGTTTAGGTATTGATAATACTTCCATGAAACATCTCTTAGTTGTTGACATGGTTCAACTGAAATAATCTGTTGTCTTAATTGACTCAAACTTTGTAATGCCAATATAGCTTTTTTTTCTAACACACAGTTCTGAAGTGCATAGGTAAAGGCATAAGTAACATCTGCAGGATCTGACTTTCTCATTGGTATGACTGGAAATTCAGGAATGAATTGTCTATTCATCTTTTATTATCTTTGTATAATAAATTATTAGTTCTTTTTGTTATTAACAATTTTAATTTTAATGAGACTTTGTTGATTAAAAAGTTCTTATCTTTATGTAATAACCAAGAACAAAACTAGTATTAGTATCAATCAAATCATAAAAATAAAAAAATTTTGATTGATAAATTCTAGAAACAATTAAAATTAGATTGTATGATTGTAGAATTGGACATAGGTTGAATTAGAATGATATTTAACTAATTTGGCAGTATTTTTTACACATTTGTTATTTGAATTTAAGTAATATCCTGAAACACATGAACTACAAATATTTGAAGAAATATTGCAAGAACTACAATATTTATCTAGTTTGCAAGTATTTGCATAAACAATCATATTTAAGGGATAAACATAATCTCCTATTCTCCATCCTATTCCACAAAGATTCGTTGTTTTAATTCTAATATAATTGTCTCCTTCACCCCATCCACTAGCCCATGAATTTCTTATAATAAAATATTCAACACCATTCTCTATACCCCATCCCATCAATACTACTTCATGGTCAGTCATAAATGAAGAAGAAGAAGTATCACAAATTGAAGATGATGGAAAAGAAAAAATACCACTTGAATATGAACTAAATCCTGTTCCACTTACTTTTACAGAAACTAAAAATGGTCCATAATGATGTAACAATTTTTTTAATAGTAACACCATATTTTGGTCTTTTGATATACCAAATGTTTTATAACCAGTAATTGCCATTTGTATTTGAACATTGGGGTTTTGATCTCCTCTAATAGTACAAACATTTTTATTTGGTCCATCAACAAAAGGATAATCTGCATCTAATGAAAAGGATTTTACAGCATTAACAGCGTCTCGAGGATGACCACCACAACAACGTTTTGTAGCTTTAGTTTTTGTAACATCAAGAAAACGTTGTGCAGAGAATTTTGGTGGAGTTTTTATACACCCATATCTTTGGTATGTTAAGTTTGAATAAAGGTATTGTGCTAAATTTGCAAGAGAAACTGCCCAACAACCTCCGCAATTTTGTTGGCTAAATACCTCTCCACATAAATCAACTTTTGGACGGTCTGTATTTTTTGAAACATACTCCCCACAAAAAGCATAGTTTTGAGGCAAATTATCACCAGAAGGTAATGGCGGTACTTCATTCCATGGTTTTTCAACTTTTTTTAATTCTTTAGAATTAAAATGTTCATTGTCATAAGAAGAGACAGGAATAGCCATTCCCTTACTTATTGGTAATTCTTCATCAATTAAGTCTGTATACATATTGATATCATGAAACGCATCAGAAGGTTGAGTTCTTTTTTCATTTAAGGTTTTTATGTTTTTTAAGTTATTCTTAAATATTTGGAACCTAAACTGTTCTTCAGTAAGAGAATAATGTTTATTGTACTTAGTTTTGAACTGAATAAACAATTTGTCTACGGGGAGTTCTAGATTAAACGCAATGCTTTGAGTCTTTTGATTAGAAACAAGTAATAAAAAAGCGACAACAATCGCTGTCATTTGTTGAAAGGTTCTTATTGATTTTATCTTTATATATCATTTTTGGGTAGTTCTTTTCACATCTAATGATAAGTCACACAATTAATTTTTGAAGAAACAAATCATCTACATAGTGTCTGTTAATTTCAAATAATCAGGAAATGAAAGAAAGAGATAAGAAAAGACAAAAAATAACTGAAAATAAGAAGTTTTAAAACAATAATTTTATAGCAAAATATAAAATAATAATTACAAAAAGATAAAATTCTACAAAAAGAAGAAAGATTTTTTAACTTATGGAAATGATGAAAAAGATGAAAAGAGAAGAACTGAAAAGGAAAGAAACCATTGAATGGGAGACGTGTCATCATTAAAGATATTATTAATTGGAGATTCCGGTGTTGGGAAGACAGCATTACTTCGTCAGTATTGTGACCAAAAATTCAGTGAAGATGTTTCTTCGACGATTGGAGTTGATTATAGAACAAAGAGAGTGACTTTTGGTGATAAAACAATCACATTACAACTTTGGGATACTGCAGGTCAAGAAAGGTTTAGAAATATTACAACTAGTTACTATAGAGGTAGTCAAGGAATTTTAATTGTTTATGATGTCAGTAATTTTGATAGCTTGAAACAAGTTACGTATTGGATTGGTGAATTAAAAAAGGAAAATGTAGATGGAATCATATTTTTGGTTGGTAATAAAATAGACGTTACCAATAGCCTCACTAAAGAACATGAAGATATCATTAAAACAATTGATCTTCCACATTTTACTGTTTCTGCCAAAACTGGTGAAGGTGTTCAAGATTTATTTACACAATTAGTTAAATCAATTCTTGAGAAAGGATTAGTTCCAGAGCCAGTAGGAAACATGGAAGAAGTTTCATTAGAGAAAGAGCCAACAGAAAGTAAGGGATGTTGTTGATAATTAATACTATTACACAACAAATTGCTATTAATTTCGAATAAAGAAAGAACAAAATAATTTATTTCATTACAAAGAAAAAAGAATATATTATATTTCTAATTAAAGAGAATAGAAAATAATAAGAAAAATGGAAAAAAAAAATAAAACAAAAATATTAACATAGAAAAATATTGTTTGTAAGTTGTTTAAAAAGGAATGAATCGAATTTAGAATAATAAACATCCTCTATTATTCTTTTTATCCTTTTTTGCTCCACCTGCAGGAGAAATAACTGCTCTAACAGCTTCATCAAAAACAAGTCTTAAATTCTTTTGAGTTAAAGCAGAACATTCGATATACTTAACAGCTCCAATATCTTTGCATTTAGCCTCACCTTGTTCAGTAGTGATTGGAGTAATTTTTTTCTCTTCTAATCTCTTTAATTGTTCTTTATCTTCTCTCATATCAAGTTTAGTTCCAACTAATAAACAAGGAGTCTTTGGACAATGATGAGAAACTTCTGGTTGCCATTTAGATGAGACATTATCAAATGATGGTGGAGAAACAACTGAGAAACAAATTAAGAATACATCGGTTTGTGGATATGACAATGGTCTTAATCTATCATAATCTTCTTGTCCAGCAGTATCCCAAAGTCCAAGATTAATTGGTTTTGAATCAACCATAACAGTAGCAGAATAATTATCAAATACTGTTGGAATATATTCATTAGGAAATGCATTTGTAGTGTAAGAAATTAAAAGACAAGTTTTTCCTACAGCTCCATCCCCAACAATGACACATTTGACAGCTTGCATCTCTTTTCTTTTGAATTAGAGTTTCAGTTCCTTGAAATTCTATTTTTAATCCATTTCTTTTCACGTTTTTTTATTTTTAAGTTCTTTACATTTCCTTGTTGTATATAAAAATATACCCATAAAAACGGGAAAGTTTGATTTATGATTTAATTATAGTAAAAATATAATTTCTTATCAATTTCTAAAATTAAAAACAATTAAGTTTCTTTAAAAAAAGAAAAAAATAAAAAAGAAAAAAAGAAGAGAATCATGTCATTGAAACTTGCATCAAAAACTGTGATTGATTCATTTCATTTTGATCAGACACCGATTTATGTTAACAGAGATGGAGAACTTGTTGTTAATAGAGCAGTAAGAAGAATGAATAATGGTGATTTATGTCAATTTATGATTTATAGAATTCAAACAGATATTAATCATTCAAGTTTAAACACATCAATTCAAGCAAAAGTTGAAATTCTAAAAATTAATCAATTACATATTTATAATGATAAAACAATTATGTCTAAAATTCCTACTTTAAGAGAGAAAGACCATCCTTATGTATTAAAGTGTTGTGGTGGATTTTTTGCATCACCATATAATACATTAGAGTATTGGATGATTTGTGAATATTCAACAAATACAACATTGTTCAGTTATATGAAAAAAAATGAGCCATTCTTTTTTGATGAAGTAATGACAATTGCATATCAATTAGTTAAAATAATGAATTATGCATATATTGAATTTAGACAAACATATATTCATCTTATCCCTCAAAATATATTCTTAGGTAGAAATCCTTCATCTCCATTTCCTCAAGCTAAATTATCTCCTTATGCTTTTATTCCTCATAAAGGATATGATGATATTGAAGAATTACCTTTTGTACCAGTTGATTATATGAGTGGTATTCGAGCTGAATTAGTTAGTACATGGTCATTTGGCGTGATATTATATAGAATGATCACTGGTTATATCCCTCAACATGATGAAAACGGTATAATCTTACCAAATGAGTTATCACATATTGAATCAGTTGAGGCAGTTGATTTAATACGTCAATGCATTAATATTCCTTTTAAGAGACCTTCAGTTGAGTCAATTAGAGGACATCCATTAATACGATTATGCCGTCAACACACTAAATTACCACATACTAACAATGATTATACAATTATATCTACTATAGGAAGAGGACAATTTGGTTCAGTATTACTTGCTGTTAATAAATATACTGGGGAACAGGTTGCTATAAAAGAAAGTTTTGGTCCACAAAATACGTTTTTACAAAAAGATGCAAGAACAATGATGTGTTGTTTATGTCAACAGCTTGTTCCATTTCTAGGATATTTTGAATTACCATATTCTTTAAGTTCATTAAATGATAATTCTTTTAGTTCACCACCAGAACTTCATTGTTATCTTGTAATGGAATATTGTGATGGAGGTAATTTAGAAGAATTTATTATGAAATTTCCTGGGTTATTACCTGACATTTATATTAAACATTTTTTAGGTGATATTGCACTTGGGTTACGTTATCTTCATTTCACAAAAGGATTGGTTCATAGAGATTTAAAACCAGAAAATTTTGTGTTATGTACACAATCAAAAAATGGTACATTGCTTCCTGGTGAGATTCCAAGAATTAAAATTACGGATTATGGATTTAGTAGAGCTATTCTTGACGATAAAATAGCTAGTGAGAAAGGAACATTATTATTTGAAGCACCAGAAATATTAAGACATGAAGGATATTATACTTCTAAAACTGATTTATATAGTGTTGGAGTTATTATCTATCACTTAGTAACTAAAACATGGCCTTTTGGATGTTCAAAAGAAAGCTTTTTTGAAGAAATGGCTAAACGAAGTTCATTAAAATTCCCTAATACCATTATTATAGAAAAATCTCTTAAAGATTTAATGATTCGATTGATTACACATGAAGAAAATGAACGAATAGGATGGAAAGAATTTTTTCTTCATCCTTATGTTAGGCAATGTCTTGAATTAAAAGGTGTGTCAATGGATTTTAATCGACATGAAATATATAGTTTTAATTAATAGTAAATATTTTGTATCTTTATAATTTTTGTTGAACAACTCATAAATCTCAATACTATGGAGAGAAGGGGGAGGGATAGATATGAATATTCATACAGCACTAGTGAAGAAAATGATAGAAGAAGATCAAGAAGTAGGTCACATCATAGAAGGCATGAGAGGTTGCCAGGCAATGAACAATATCAAGAACGTTTTGAGTTACGAAATAAAGAATTTTGTTCTGATAAGGGAAGTCAGTATAATTGTGATAATGAAAAGAAAGATGTGATTGTCTCAATTAATGATGACGAAGATGAGATTTTAAAGAAAATGGGATTAGTAAATGGATTTTGTTCTACAAAAGGAAAACATGTAAAAGGAAATATTGAAGGGTATTCAAAAATTAAAGCAACAAGTAAGATATTTAATTTACTTATTAATAAAAGAGGAGTTCATCAGAAGCCTGTTGATGTTAAATTAAAGAAGTAAATGATTGTTTATTACTTTTTTTTATTACAAAGTCAGAAGAACTGAATAACCAAAATATGTTATCCTTAAGAATATATTCCATTAAGTCTCTTCAAATTTGTAAATGGTTAGTTATAGTTTTTAGTATTATCTGTGGTTGTTGTTCCATAATTCCAAATACCAATAAATTATATAAAACAACTATATTTTCAGTGTTAAATTTTACAGATATAGTAGGATATTTAATGACATTTTCATATTTTTGTCTTTTAGTATTAAATATAATAGGATTTATATTAATTTTAAACGTTCAGAATATTATAAGACTTAACCCATTAATTATTGTTGAATATTTATTTCTTTCTTTAAGTTTGTTATTTCTTTTGTTTCAAATATTATTTAACTATAAGTCTGTTTCAAGCTACTTATTGGTATTCTTCGTTTTCTTTATTTTTGTGTATCACTACATTATTCAAAGACATCCATCACAACTCTCTTTTTTATTTGGTTTTCATGTAACGTTAAGAATGGTTGTTTCTGTTAATTTGGTTTTTATTAGATTAATGAAAGTTATTGTTAATTCAAATGAATTAAAGAATGTCTTTAATTGGATATTGGTATTTCTTTCATTAGCAATTATTGCTTCCTTCTTTAAAGACTTTCATCAAATAGAAATGCATAAAAGGGTATTTCAAAGTGATGAAGAATCGGTTACTTCAATTGAACTATGAACAAGACTTATTTTTGTTTTCTTTAACAAAATTGGAATATTGAAAAAAGGTTTTAATTGAAAAAATGGGTTATTAAGTACTTTAAGAACTCTTTTCTTTTGAGCGAGTTTTGTCGTTCGATGGAATCATGTGATAAATAACAATAATGATAAGGGCTATTATTGTCAATAATCGTAACATAGATGTAAGTTGTTCTTCTGTAATTTCCACTACGAATGAGTTGATTTATATATGAATAAAAGAGAATTTGTTTAATTCAAACTTTTTAAGGAACTTTTTTTGAATTTTTCAGTTTCTTCTTTTTATTTTTATTTTTTTTTTTACATTGTCACTCTATTAATAAAAATTTTTTATAAATTAATTTCTTGTAAATGATATAAAATAAATCAAGATGTAGTCTGTAAGATTTAATCCATTTAAACTATGGCATACTACGGATAGAATTAATGTTAATTAGTAAGAATAAGTAAAAACAATTAGATGTTATTTTTATATTATTCATACAGTAGATATAATAATTATTTTAGTATTAAATATATACTACAACAAACAATTTCTATAATTATATTTTAGAATCGTTCAAAACTTTTTTGATTGTAATAACTGTTTCATATTAATAATTATTAATAAATAAACATAAAAATTCATGTTAAAGTTGTTATTAATTAAAACATTTAAAAATATTATTTAATGAAAAAGTTTTTAACATTGAAGAAATAGAATTTAATACTTTAATATTTCTGTTTATTTTATTTATTAACTCTTTAACTTTATAATAATAACAATCATTAATTGTTTAAATAAAAATGAAGAACTGTTTAAAATGTGTCATAGAGATATGAAAATATATGTCATACCAGTAATAAAATAATAATAAATAATAATATACATTTCAATTATCATTTATTTCATAAAAGAAGATAGTATATGATATTTATTAAATATGTTTACAAAGAAAAGATGATCGTTA